GGTTATTTATTTGACTTTTTTCTTGTTTCTTGAGGTAGGCCTGTAATGCTATGAATCTTCCCCTTAGCACTGCTTTTACAGTGTCCCATAGGTTTTGGGTTGCTGTGTTTTCATTTTCATTCATTTCTATGCATATTTTTATTTATTTCTTGATTTCTTCTATGATTTGTTGGTTATTCAGAAGCGTGTTGTTTAGCCTCCATATTTTTGAATTTTTAATAATTTTTTTCCTGTAATTGAGATCTAATCTTACTGCACTGTGGTCAGAAAAGATGACTGGAATGATTTCAGTTTTTTTGAAATTACCAAGACTAGATTTATGGCCCAGTATGTGATCTATTCTGGAGAAGGTTCCGTGTGCACTTGAGAAAAAGGTGAAGTTGATTGTTTTGTGGTGAAACGTCCTATAGATGTCAATTAGGTCTAGCTGGTCCATTGTGTCCTTTAAAGTTCGTGTTTCCTTGTTCATTTTCTGTTTAGTTGATCTATTCATAGTTGTGAGTGGGGTATTAAAGTCTCCTACTATTATTGTGTTACTATTAATTTCCTCTTTCATACTCATTAGCATTTGCCTTACATATTGCGGTGCTCCTATGTTGGGTGCATATATATTTATAATTGTTATATCTTCTTCTTGGATTGATCCTTTGATCATTATGTAGTGTCCATCTTTGTCTCTTTTCACAGCCTTTATTTGAAAGTCTATTTTATCTGATATGAGTATTGCGACTCCTGCTTTCTTTTGGCCTCCGTTTGCGTGGAATATTTTTTTCCAGCCCTTCACTTTTAGTCTGTATGTGTCCCTTGTTTTGAGGTGGGTCTCTTGTGGACAGCATATATAGGGGTCTTGCTTTTGTATCCATTCAGCCAGCCTTTGTCTTTTGGCTGGTGCATTCAACCCATTTACATTTAAGGTAATTATTGATAGGTATGGTCCCATTGCCATTTATTTTGTTGTTTGGGGTTCACGTTTATACCACCTTTCTGTGTTTCCTGTCTAGAGAAGATCCTTTAGTATTTGTTGAAGAGCTGGTTTGGTGGTTCTGAATTCTCTCAGCTTTTGCTTGTCTGTAAAGCTTTTGAGTTCTCCTTCATATCTGAATGACATCCTTGCTGGGAAGAGTAATCTAGGTTGTAGGTTATTCTCTTTCATTACTTTAAGTATGTCCTGCCATTCCCTTCTGGCCTGAGAGGTTTCTATTGATAGATCAGCTGTTATCCTTATGGGAATCTCTTTGTGTGTTATTTGTTGTTTCTCCCTTGCTGCTTTTAATATTTGTTCTTTGTGTTTGATCTTTGTTAATTTGATTAATATGTGTCTTGGGGTGTTTCGCCTTGGGTTTATCCTGTTTGGGACTCTCTGGGTTTCTTGGACTTGGGTGGTATTTCCTTCCCCATTTTAGGGAAGTTTTCAGCTATTATCTCCTCGAGTAACTTCTCATGGCCTTTCTTTTTGTCTTCTTCTTCTGGGACTCCTATGATTCGAATGTTGGGGCGTTTCACATTGTCCCAGAGGTCCCTGAGGTTGTCCTCATTTCTTTTGATTCTTTTTTCTTTTTTCCTCTCTGCTTCATTTATTTCCACCATTTTATCTTCTTACTCACTTATTCTATCTTCTGTCTCTGTTATTCTACTCATGGTTCCCTCCAGAGTGTTTTTGATCTCATTTATTTCATTATTAATTTTTAATTGAGTTTTTTAAAAATTTCTTCTATGTCTTGTTAAACATTTCTTGCATCTTCTCAATCTTTGTCTCCAGGCTATTTATTTGTAACTCCATTTTGTTTTCAAGATTTTGGATCATTTTTATTATCATTATTCTAAATTCTTTTTCAGGTAGATTCCCTATTTCCTCCTCTTTTGTTTGACTTGGTGGGCTTTTTTCATGTTCCTTTACCTGGTGGGTATTTCTCTGCCTTTTCATCTTGTTTAGATTGCTGTGTGGAGTGGGCTTTCTGTATTCTTGTGGTCTGTGGTTCCTTTTTATTGTGGAGTTTTCACCCAGTGGGTGGGGTTGGATGATTAGTTTGTCACGGTTTCCTGGTTAGGGAAGCTTGTGTCAGTGTTCTGGTGCATGGAATTGGATTTCTTTTCTCTGGAGCGCAATGGAGTGTCCAGTAATGAGTTTTGCAATGGGTCTATGTGTTAGGTGTGACTTTGGACAGCCTGTATGTTGACACTCAGGTCTATGTTCCTGCGTTGCTAAAGAATTTGCGTGGTATGTCTTGTACTGGAGCTTATTGGCTCTTGGGTGGTGGTTGGTTTTGGTGTAGGTATGGAGGCTTTTAGATGGTCTCTTATTCCTTAATGTTCTGTGTAGTCAGGAGTTTTCTTGTTTTCTCAGGTTTTGGGCTTAAGTCTCCTGCCTCTGGATTTCAGTTTTATTCTTCCAATAGTCTCAAGGCTTCTCCAACTATACAGCACTGATAATAAAACTTCTACGTTAATGGTGAAAAGATTCTCCACCGTGAGAGACAACCAGAGAGGTTCACAGAGTTACATGAAGAATAGGAGAGGGAGGAAGGAGATAGAGGTGAGCAGGAGGAGAAAAAGGGGACTCAAGAGGAGAGATATCTACGCAGTTATCTGTTCCCAAAGTGTTCTCCATAGCCCAGACACCCACAGAGATTCACAGAGTTGGATTGGGAAGAGAAGGGGAAAAGTGGAAATAGAGGTGTTCTGAGGTAGAAAACAGAGAGTCAGAAGTGGGAGAGTAATCACCACACTCCTGAATAGAAATGGGAACTGAATATTGGATTCTTAAATGTCCAAAATGTATATCACATACTGAAAAATAAAGATTAAAAATCTAGTGTAGAGGTTAGACTCTTTGAAATACAATATTTAAAAACAAAAACAAAATCACACAAAAAATTTAGAAATGTATATGATGTTTGGTTTAAAAATAGGGTTTCTCTCTCTTTCTCTCTCTTTTTTTTTTTGGCAAGGTTATAGTGAAACAAAAATGAAAATTAAAGAATAATAGAGGAGTATTAGAGGACTTGAAAAGGAAATAAGAGAGAAAAACAAGAAAAAGAAAAAAAAAGAAAAAAAATTTTTGTCCCTAATTAAAAAAATCGTAAAAATATATGAAAATGAAAGTTGAGGAGTAATGGGGGAGTAATAGGGAATTTTAAAAGAAAATAAAAGAGAAAAAATAAAAAATAAAGAAAAAGGAAAGAAAAAAAAATTTTTTAAATTAAAATATATATATATATACATATAAATCTAGGAATTTCTCTGGATTTGTTGCAGTCAGTGTAGGTTCAGTTCAATTTCAGATAGCTCCTCTTTCCAGCTTACACTTTTTGATATCTATAAGCGCCTTCCAGTGTAGTCAGTGTTACCTTCATGGATTTTAATCTGTTGCACCAGTCCTTTCTGAAGCGGTTCCCTTTGTTTATTTGGCTTCTATTTGCTGTCTCTTCAGTGTCTAATTTCCGCCCTGACACAGGCGGGCAGTGGTGATCTCTTATTTAGGTTCGCTAGTTCAGTTCAGTTCAGTCCTGCTATGAGGAGGGCGGGGCGCTGCAGACAGATACCGCTCTGTGTGGATAGCACTCACCATGTTACGGCCACACTGGGTTTGCCCCGCTCACGGGTGTCAGTGCTTTCCCCGTCTACACTGCTCAGGCTCCTGGCTGCTCTTTATGGAGCGGACCCTGCATTGAGTGCGGTTCCAGTTTTCGGGTACTCCACAAAAGCTCGGATTCGGTTGCACCTGCATTTTGTACCTTCCCCGGCCTGAGCGGTTCAGGCAGCCAGAGGCTTGGGCGTACTCTCCCCGGGTGCAGCGCGCCTTCTCCCTCCGCAGTGAGCGGCCCAGGCAGCCAGACTTGGGCGCACTCTCCCCGGGTGCGGCGTGCCTTTTCCCTCCGCGTCGAGCGGCCCAGGCAGCCAGGGGCTTGGGCGCACTCTCCCCGGATGCGGCGCGCCTTTTCCCTCCACGTCGAGCGGCCCAGGCAGCAGAGGCTTGGGTGCACTCTCCCCAGATGCGGCGCGCCTTTTCCCTCCGCGTCGAGCGTCCCAGGCAGCCAGAGGCTTGGGCGCACTCTCCCCGGGTACGGCGCGCCTTTTCCCTCCGCGGCCCCAGCGCGCGCCACTACTCGGGTCTCAGGAAGTCTTTAGATAGGAACCGGGGGCCTGTTTGCAGTGTGGGAGGGGGTGGCTTCTCAGGGGCTGAGTTTGCCCTTTTCCCCCTCCCCGCTGCCTCCTACCTCCAGCGGGGATGGGCTGGCTCTTCTCTGGAGTTTCTCAGTCCCTTTGTTTTGCGAACCACCGCCAGTGTGTTTGGGCCGGTTAAGTTTGACCCTTGCTATCCCACAGTTTAAAAAAGCTCCCTCCGATTGCTCTCAGGGTCTTTGGGCCAGTCCTTACCCTAAGCAATGCCGCCCGCTCCTCTCCGTTCCACCCCTGCTTGTTGCTGGCGGTTATGGTCGTCTGGGGTACTTTTCTGCTGGGAGTTGCTTTTAGGCATGTAATCTGTGGGCCTTGTTTAATTTTTCCTCCCAGTTAGATTGCCGAAAACTTCCCCCAGTCCCGCCAGTGGGAGGGTTTCCTGGTGATTGGAAACTTCCTCTATTAAGACTCCCTTCCCAGGACCGGTCTCCGTCCGTAGCTCTTTTGACTCCCTTTTTATCTTTTATATTTTGTCCTACCTCCCTTCGAAGACAATGGGCTGCTTTTCTGGGTGCCTGATGTCCTCTGCTAGCGATCAGAAGTTGTTTTGTGAAATTTGCTCAGTGTTCAAATGTTCTTTCGATGAATTTGTAGGGGAGAAAGTGGTCTCCCCGTCCTATTCCTCCACCATCTTGATTCCTCCACCTGGTGTTTTTTGTGTTCTCTGCAGATATTCGCACAAGCAGTCACTTTCATAATGGACTGTAATCATCAAATCAAAAGTCTGTGAGATGGTTCAAGTATTACAAAACAAAAGAGAATAGAAGTCAAGCTCCAAGATGAACTGAGATTTTATTATGCTTTTCGAATTTTGATTCTAGGTAATGGGACACTGATTGGAGCATCAGCAAATGTGGTTTGTGCAGGAATTGCAGAGCAGCATGGATATGGATTCTCTTTCATGGAATTTTTCAGGTACTTCAAAAATTTATCTAAATTTTCTGTTTATATAGCCCCTAAGCTTAAGTAATTAAAAATAAGCCACACATATTTAATATAAGTATGTTTTAATAATCAGCAAGACATTGGTATTTTATGCTGTTCTTTTGAACATTCCAATGGGGATTTGTGCCTTGACTGTCCAGGTTGAGGGTGCATAATGAGACTGTGACATCCTGCATGGCATTACCTAGTGAAAAAATTCATGATTGAAAGGATCTAGGAATATTGAAGACTGGGGGCAGCTTGGGAGCAGGTACCTCTCAGGAGCTTAGCACAGAGAGGAGTCCCTGGGTGGCGGAGTGCAGCTGATGCCAGCTCCTGCAAAGGAGGATCTGCTCTGAGGGAGCTGGGCTTGCTCTGGGGTCCCAGCCCCTGCCTGCTTGTTTTTTTAGGGCACCCCTGAAATTTGCATTCAGGAACTGGGTAAAATAGTCATTGGTGGTGCCTGTAAAATAGTGCTGCCAAAATGAACTGAAATTTATTTGGGGGATACAGTAGTGGCTATCTCATGGAGGCATGCACCCACATCACCTAGGCTGAACCCAACTTTTGATTTCTAGAAATAAGGGACAATTACCTTTATGGATATATAAAGCTGTTAAGGCCACATTCTTTTGCAATAATATAATTATGAATTCAGATCTCACAGTACTCTCCAGACACCAGATACCATAATCCACTTCTCTGTGTTTCAGGCTGGGCTTTCCAATGATGGTTGTCTCCTGCATGGTGGGGATGTGTTACCTCCTTGTTGCTCATGTCGTGATGGGATGGAATTAGTAGATATACAATGTATGAAGACTAAGGGAAACTTGACCCATCATCAATGTCAGTAGAAAACTGCCACAAAACCACTCTTTGGAGAAAAAAAGGTGCTTACCATGGGGGTGCTCTGGAATGGAGATTTTGCTATCTACATTCTTATTTGGGTGAAGCTGTGATAAATACAAGATAACTTACCCAAGATTCTACTATAGGAAAATGTGTATATTTCAATATATATCTTGCTCTGTTCTATAGGAAAAGACATAAAAAGCTTGTGTTGGTTAAATGTCACTTCTCCTGAAGTGACTGCTTTCTTTCACGTAATCACTTTTTATGTTAAAATAATAAGAATTCAAATTGTGTATACTCCTAATGCATACTCTTCTTGGGAAGGGCATACAATTTGTAAGGAAACATTAAAAGTCTTTAAAACATAGTGCCCCTTGAGAAAAGGTTTTAGAATTGGTTAGTCTCTTATTTTTCAGTAGAGGAACTGCTGATCTTGTCCATATAGGTCTGCTCCTGTGGATACAGCAGGACAAGTAGAAGGAGAGTAAATCTGAATGGGCAGATGGAAGATACTTAGCTCTGTACACCATTTTTGTTCTTCAGCAAATGAAAAAAATGTTCATGTCTGCAATAAAAGAAACAATGAAAGTGCCACCAGATTTTCTATCAAGTTTGTCAATTATCCTGACACTGTCTCCAAAATTAATAGGTAAATGATCCAGTACCTATTAAATCCTATTTCATAATGACAGAAAGAGACAGCACTGAAGGAACAAATGGCTCTTCTATGAATGTTGAAACGACAGAGTTAAACATTGTTCTGATGCCTCATGCATAAACCCTGAAGGTCCAAGGACCATGGGGACACACAGTCTGAATTCAAGATAAAGAGTGTTCTTCTACTGCATATGAAGATCATGTCCTTCTTGAGTTGCATTAGAAGCTATGTACAGGTTTGAAAGGCACCTCTATCCAGATTAAGGACATGTGCAGGCAAGGGTGGAGGGACAGGTAGCCAAGCAACAGATACAATTGCCATGGGAACTGGAATCACTTCCTCCTGCAATTTGTGGGTGCCTTGCAGATCTTGGGCCCCAGTCTCCTAAACATCACATAACAGAAGACAATGTGCATGCCTAACTTTATGGATCAGTTGGTTAGAGGATATTTGGTTTACAGCACATAGTTCAACTTTGCCTGGTGGCAATGTTTCCCACAATAAGGTCTTCAGTCTGTAGAAGGGTCCAGTAGCAGCCAAGAGCTGCTTTTACAGTAAAGACTAGTAGTCAGAATGGGAGGGTGTGGACCTTATCCAGCCATTCATGCTCTGCATTGTGATATCCCCATTGAGGTCAGTCAGAGACACTGGGACTCCTTCAATGTGCTATGCCATTGAGAAGGCCCAATTGGCAAGGCAGCTTGCTTGACAGCAGGGCCTGCTGAAGGAACTTTATTTGGTTGAGTGTCCCTCAAAATTTGCAGCTTCAGGAGGTCATCTGGTAATGGGTTGGAGTAGCTTCTCTAATGTGTTATATGTTTCCTACAAGATTGAAAATGGACCTCCAAGAATTGTATTTTTTAATTTTTGTGTGTGATTAGGGCAATTTGCCTCTCACTTTGCAGGGTAATTTTAAGTCACTGATTGGTATTAGCCTTTAAATTTTCCATTGAGAAAGGAAATTGAGACGGTGTATTTTTTTGGTTTTACTCTCTTGGTATGGATGAGAAGCTTCCTAATATAAAAGAGAACAAATTTGGAGTGTCTGACAGTTATTTATTATATTATCTATCCCAGGATTCATTCTGGAGCTGGGGAAATAACCTCAAGATGGGTCTACTACTTCATAGAATCAAGTATTGTATGAGCCTAGACCAAGAATGTAACCACCATTTGACCTCTGTAGGCTGCTACTCTGTATAAGGAACGAGAGGGCATTTTGGGTCACTGAGAATTGCAGAAAATTAATATTAGAAAAGAAAATCTCTTTTCATCAATGTACAAATTACTGTTATTGTGGTTGTTCAGTTGCTAAGAGGTGTCTGACTCTTTGCAACCCAATGAAATGCAGCATGCCAGGCTTCCCTGTCCTTCAGTATCTCCCAGGGTTTGCTCAAACTCATCTACATCGAGTTGGTGATGCCAGCCAAACATCTCGTCCTCTGTTGCCTCCTTCTCCTCCTGCCCTCAATCTTTCCCAGCATCAGGGTCTTTTCCAATGAGACAGTTCTTTGCATCAGTTGGCTGAAGTATTGTGGCTTCAGCTTCAATATCAGTCCTTCTAATGAATATTCAGGGCTGATTTCCTTTAGGATTGACTGATTTGATCTTGCAGTCCAAGGAACTCTCAAGAGTCTTCTCCAATACCACAGTTCAAAAGTATCAATTCTTTGGCACTCAGCTGTTTCTATGGCCCAACTCTCACATTCGTACATGACTACAGGAAAACCATAGCTTTTACTATACAGACCTTGTCCTCAAAGTGATTTTTCTGCTTTTTAATATGCTATCTATGTTTGTCATAGCTTTTCTTCCAAGGAGCAAGCAAGTCTTTTAATATTATGACTGCAGTCACCATCTTCAGTGATTTTGGAGCCCAAGAAAATAAAATATGTTATTGTTTCCATTATTTCCATTATTTTCCCATCCATTTGCCATGAAATGATAGATCAGATGCCATAATCTTAGTTTTTTTGAATGTTGAGTGTTAATTTTTCACTCTCCTCTTTCATCTTCACCAAGAGGCTCTTAGGTTCCTCTTCACTTTCTGCCACTAGAGTGGTGTCATCTGCATATCTGAGGTTGCTGATATTTCTCCTGGCAGTCTTGATTCCAGCTTGGGATTCATCGTGGTGGGTATTTCGTTGATGTATCATGTAAGTTAAATGTTGTCATTTCGAAGTGTTGTCAGTGAAGCAGAAGTAGATGCATTTTTGGAATTCCTTTTCTATGATCCAGTGGATGTTGGCAATTTGATCTCTGGTTTCTTTACCTTTTCTAAATCCAGCTAGTACATCTGGAAGTTGTCTATTTACTTACTGCTAAAGCCTAGCTTTAAGGATTTTGAGCATTACCTTGCTAGCATGTGAAATGAGTGCAATTGTATGGTAGTTTGAGCATTCTTTGGCATTGCCTTTCTTCAGGATTGGAATGAAAAATGACCTTTTCCAGTTCTGTGGCCACTGCTGAGTTTCCAAATTTTCTGGCATATTCAGTGCAACACTTTAACAGTATCATCTTTTTGGATTTGAAATAGCTCAGCTGGAATTCCATCACCTCTACCTATCTTTGTTCATAGTAATACTTCCAAGGCCCACTTGACTTCACATTCCAGGATGTCTAGCTCTAGGTGAGTAACTGTATCATCATGGTTATCCCGGTCATTAAGATTTTTTTTTTTTGTACAGTTTTGTGTATTCCTGTTACCTCTTTTTAACCTGTTCTGCTTCTGTTAGGTCCTTACTGTTTCTGTCCTTTATTGTGCCCATTTTGACTGAAATGTTCCCTTGGTATCCCTAGTTTTCTTTAAGAGAGCTCTATTCATTCCCATTCTATTGTTTTCCTCTATTTCCTTGCATCGTTCGCTTAAGAACCCTTTCTTTTTTTCTTTTTCTTTTTTTTGAAGAAGGCTTTCTTTTCTCTCCTTGCTGTTCTCTGGAACTCTGCATTCAGTTGGGTGCATCTTTCCCTTTTTCCTTTGCCTTTAACATCTCTTCTTTTCTCAGCTATTTGTAAGGCCTCCTAAGGAGAACCATTTTGTCTTGTTACATTTCTTTTTCTTTGGGATGGTTTTGATCACTGACTCCTGTACAATGCTATGAACCAACTCATTGGAAAATACCCTGATGCTGGGAAAGATTGAACACAGAAGAAGAAGAGGGTGACAGAGAATGAGATGTTTGGATGGTGTCACTGATTCAATGGACATGAATTTGGACAAACTCTGGGAGATGGTGAAGGACAGGGATGCCTGGTGTTCTGCGGTCCGTGGGATTGTGAAGAGTTGAATATGACTTGGTGATTGAATGACAGACCCTGTGATGAAAAGGATATCTTTTTTGGTGTTAGTTCTAGAATGTCTTGTAGGTCTTCATAGAACTGTTCAACTTCAGCTTCTTTGGTATCAGTGGTTGGGGAATAGATTTAGATTAGTGTGATGTTGAATGGTTTGCCTTGGAAATGAATCGAGATCATTCTGTTGTTTTGGAGATTGCACCCAAGTATTGCATTTTATACTCTCTTGTTGACAATAGGGCTACTCCGTTTCTTCTAAGGGATCCTTTCTCACAGGAGGAGATATAATGGTCATCTGAATTAAATTCCCCCATTCCCATCCATTTTAGTTCACTGATTCCTAAAATGCCAATGTTCACTCTTGCCATCTCCTGCTTGATTACATCCAATTTACCTTGATTCACAGACCTCACATTCTAGGCTCCTATGCAATATTGTTCTTTACATCATCAGACTTTACTTTCACCACCAGACACTCAACAACTAGGAGTCATTTCTCTTTGGTCCAGCTGCTTCATTCTTTCTTGAGCTATTTCTCTGCTCTTCTGCAGTAGAATATTGGATACCTTCTGACCTGTGGGGCTCATCTTCTGGTGTCATATCTTTTTGCCTTTTCATACTGTTCATGTGGTTCTCTAGGCAAGAATGCTGGAGTGGTTTGCCATTCCCTTCTCCAGTGGACCATGTATTGTCAGAACTCTCCACCATGACCTGCTCATCTTGGTTAACCCTGTATGTCATGGCTCATGGCTTCACTAGTTACAGAAGGCTGTGGCCCATATGGTCATTTTGTTTAGCTTTCAATGATTGTGGTTTTCATTCTGGAAGCTGTGAGATTGTAGTTCTTGCTTTTTCTGTCTTCCCTGTGATGGGTGAAGATAAGAGGCTTGTGCAAGCTTCCTGATGGGAGGGACTGGCTTTGGGGAAAACTGGGTCATGCTTTTGTGGGCAAGGCCATGCTCAGTAAATTTTTAATACAATTATCTGCTGATGG